TTATTATTATTATTATTATTATTATTAATAGTCTGTAAGGAATTGTTTCAGACTTTATTTTTATGAGAAGTTTTAGGTTTACGTAAAAACTGAGCTGAAAGTACAGAGAATTCCCATAAACACTCCAAGCCAATCCCCAGTTTTCCTACTATCAACATCTTTCTTTAGCATGGTATATTTATTACAACTGATGAGCCAATATTGATAGAATGTCATTAGCTAAAATCCAGAGTTTACACTAGGATTAACTCTTTGTATTATACATTCTATGGGCTTTGACAAATGCATAATGATATGTATCCACTACTACAGCATCATATAGAATAGTTTCAGTGTCCTAAAAATCCTCTGTGCTCCACCTATCCATCCCTCCCTCCCTCACCCCCTCCTGCCCCTTTCCCTGGCCCCTTGATCTTTTTTATTATTCCATAGTTTTGCCTCCGTCTATAGGTTTTCTAACTGTATGTTTAAAACAGGGAATAATTTGGTTAGTGTGTGTCACAGAGGTAAAACATACAAGATTGAAAGATTTACCATAAACACATCAACTATGGCATCAAAACTACACTATTTTCACCAACAATAAATGCTTCTATTTATGCTTCTATTCTATTTATTCAACTGACATTAAAGGTAACATAGTACATGCTAGCACTGTTTTAGATGCAAGAGGTAAGAGTAATAAGCAAGACAGACAGGGGCTGTGCCCTCATGGAGTATACATTTAATTTGAAGGGTGAAGGAGGACAGAAATTAAACAAAAAGTCAAGCAAAATGTTTTTCAACCCTGCTAAGTAGGGTGATGGAAATAAAACAAGGTTATATGATAGAGTGACAGGTGGGGACAGTGGTAAGGGAAGATGTCTTTGAGGATATGATATTTTGCTAAGAATTAAGAGATAAGAAGCAACTATTCATGCAACAGAACATTTCAGGCAGAGGGAACCACAAATAAAATAACCTAGAGATGAGAACAAACTTGAAAGAAAGAAAGAAAGAAAGAAAGAAAGAAAGAAAGAAAGAAAGAGGAAGGAAGGAAGAAAGAAAGAAGGAGGAAGGAAGGAAGGAAGGAAGAAAGGGAGGAAGGAAAAAAAGGGAAGGAGGGAGGGTGGGTGGAAGAAAGGAAAAGAAGAGGGAAAGAGAGAGAGAGAGAGAGGGAAAGGAAAAAAAAAAAACAAAGGCCGTGTGGCCGGTTGGGTGCAGGCTGGTAGTGAACAGGAGAGTGTGAGGGTGAGGTTGGGAGAGGCAGGAGACCTTGGAAGAGGGGAATGAGATAGGTATGCAAGGCCAGATAATAACTTCACAGTAAGGAGTTTCCATTTTATTTTAATGGGAAACCACTGTAGGATTTTAAGCAGGAAAGTGACAAGATCCAATTCTTGTTTTTTAAAATGAGTACTTGATGGGCACCTGAGTGGCTCAGTTGGTAAAGCATCTGTCTTCAGCCCAGGTCACGATCCCAGGGTCCTGAGATGGAGCCTTGCATTGGGCTCCCTGCTTAGCAGGGAGCCTGCTTCTCCCTCTTCTCCCTGCTCATGTTCTCTCTTGCTATCTCTGTCTCTCTTAAATAAATAAATAAATAAATAAATAAACAAACAAATAAACAAAATCTTTTAAAATAAATAAATAAAATAAAATGATTATTCAATCTACAGAATAGTTTAGAAGTCTTCTTTAAAATAATAACACTGATCTATCAAGAGCATTGAAGATGCCGACCAATGCAGTGCAAATCCTCGAAAGTAAAAATGATATTTTTACACATTCAAGGCCAATACCGTTACTTGTGTAAGTTCCCACCCACATTCCCCCCAAAAGACATAACCCAACAGAGCCATCAGAAGAGTTTCCAGTCACTTGCTGAGTCTGCCGAGTTGACCATTTGGCATAGGGATATTTATATTCAGTTGCCTACCAATATGAAAAACCATTTCCGTAGGGAACTCTAAATGAAGATATCATTGTAAGTATTTCTGCCTTCTACTGTAGCTCTTCCTGAAGGTTTGGAAAGCCATGCTATGTCTGTAATTACAAACTGCATTTTAAAAATACAAATGAGAAAAAGGCTGATGTCCAGATTTAGCTCCAGCAGATAGAACTGAAAAAACAAAACAGCATTGGACACTTGGGGATGTGAAATGGAAATTGGCCAAACATAGTCCAGGTGCTTTTCTGCTTATTCCAAGCCCAGCTCCAGGGGACCAGCCTCCCCTCCCAAGGAATGATTTTTCTTTCTTAGCTTCACAGAGAATTGGAGGAATAAGTGATTTCAACTGTCTGTCTCTATGGCAACTCGTACCCTAATTTCACCTCTTAGATGGCAATTATACCTACTCACTGAATAGCTTTCAGGCCCCACTTTTATGATGAAAAGATTTATTTCATGAGAAATGAGATGTAGGTAATAGGTGAAGTTTCCCCCAGCAACCATGGAGTACAGTTTATAAGCGGTGTGATCATTCAGAAGCGGAACGCATTCTACGGGGTTTTGTTTTTGTTTTTTTTCTTTTTCAGTTGTAGGATGTTTATCCCAAATGTCTTTCCTCTACTTATTTTTTTAAGGATAAAATATTGTTCTTTTCTTTCTTAATATTTATTTTTTTTTGTTCAACTAAGGAAATTAGTTGGGTTCATTGTAAAGAGTTTTGCAAATATAGAATAAAAAGTAGAAAAGCATAAACAAGAAAATAAAGTTCATTCTCCTTACTTAAAAATAATCACTCTAAATATTCTGTTAACATTTTAGATGTGTGATGTATATACGTGTAAATACAATTTAAATCCTGTAGTGTGTAATTTTTTTGTAGCTGGACTTTTTCACAAAATATTTTATGAGAAGTTTTCCATACCATTAAATATTCTTTGAATGCATGATTTAGTGGCTTCGAAAGAGTCCATAATCTTGGTTTACTGTATTTTATTTAACTAATAGCTCTATGTTGATATTATTAAACATAAATGTATTATGTATTATTGCCTTAGAATAAATCCCAGAAAACAAATGCATAAATCAAACGGGATAAACATTTTAAATTATATTGCCAAATTTATCTCCCCCCAAATTATACCAGTTTATTTTCCTAGTAGAGGTAAATGGACGAAAGTATCCATTACCTTAAATTCTCTATCAGAGATAATATTTTTTAGTCCTAATGAGAGAGGGAATATTTCACTATATTTCTTCAATATCTTTAATTTAAAACTTATTTTAAGGTTAATTATGTTTTTAGATTTTCTTTTTTTTTTTTTTTAGGGGTGGAAGAGATACATGAATTTCTTGTTCACCTCTGAAGCAATGAAGATTTGTTATCCCCTAATAACTCTCCTCTATTTCTTAGTAACAGAAGAGATAACTGTTAGCTGGACACATAGACCCTTGAGATAAAGACACTTTCCATTCTCCTTTGTAGCTAAGTATAGCTATACATTAATTCTAGGCTGATGAAATATAAGCAAAAATGATCTATGCTATTTCAGAGAAATGTCCTTAAAAGCAAAAAATATGCCCTCTATTTTCTCTTCATCACTCTTCATGGTTGGAATGCAGATGTTATAGCTGGAGTTTCAACAGCCATTTTGAACTACAAGGATAAGGGTCACACTATAGGGATGGTAGAGCAGAAAGCTAGAGGGAGCCTAGGTTCCTAAGAACTTTACAGAAGTTCCATCCTAGAAGCCTGGTCTCCAGGTTTTTATTTGAAAGAGTAAAACTGTATTTTTAGGCCATGATTGTGTTGCACTCTTTTATCAAGCTGTACTTAACACCTTACTGATTTAAGATATTTTTCTCCACATTTTTTTTTCTTACTGATTTTTTTTTTCTTCAGAGATTTATTTATTTTAGAGAGAAAGAGTGAGCAAGCAGGGGGAGGTACAGAGGGAGAGAGAGAAGCCTGAAGTAGACTCCCCTCTGAGCTCCATCCCAAGACCCTGAGATCATGACCTGAGCCACAATCCAGAGTCACCTGCTTTAACCGACTGAGCCACTCAGGTGTCCCTTCTTACCAATTTTTGAGTGCATTTTCTATTTTAAGGATAGGTACAATTTATCTGGTATATATGTTACAAATTTTTCCAGATTTTCATTTGTTCCTTATTTTTTTATGGAATTAGGAGATGCAAAAATATAATTATTTTTAAATTTAATTACTGGGGTGCCTGGGTGGCTCAGTGGGTTAAAGCCTCTGCCTTAGGCTCAGGTCATGATCCCAGGATCCTGGGATGGAGCCCCACATCGGGCTCTCTGCTCAGCGGGGAGCCTGCTTACTCCTCTATCTCTGCCTCCTTGTGATCTCTGTCAAATAAATAAATAAAATCTTTTTTTAATTTAATTTTAAATTTAATTATTATATAAATCACATTATATATTTTAAAAATCTAACAGTATTAGCTTAGAAATATAAATTCCAGGGGCACCTGGGTGCCTCAGTCAGTTAAGGGTCTGCCTTCCACTCAGGTCATGATAGTCGAGGTCCTGGGATTGAGCCCCTGCATCTAGCTAACTGCTCATTGGGGTGCCTGATTCTTCCTCTGCCTCTGCCCCTCCCCCTGTTTGTGTTCTGTGCCCCCTCTCTCTCTCAAAAAATAAAATAAAATCTTTAGAAAAAAAGAAATATAAATTCCAGAGAAATATTTTGTCTCAAACATCACAAGGCAGTCCTGAGAAACATATGGCCATTTCTTACAGGTACACAATTAAATGGTTATGTTGCAGGCCAAAGTCATTTAGATGATGGGAAACTGTGTATGTTTTTGAAGACTTAATAATTCATTCCTTACTGATGCAGAGAATTTCTGTGGGTAATCTATGGGGCTCTGGGTTCAAAGCATTGCCCCAGAGGTCTTCGCTGGGGCTTAAGGGAACTGAGTGGGCCAGCTCTGCCTGCCACCCCAATGTGATTTATTCATCAGAGTTCCACAAAAGAGCCCCTGCCAGCTGATTCCCCGCCCCCTCTCTCCCCCCACACACAGATAAGAAATCTAAAATCACAATTTCCTACCAGATCATAAGCAGCCAACATTTTTTTCTGCACATCTGGAATTGCCCCCAGAGGCTCCAGATAAGGGAAGTTTTCTTTCATCACAAGAGAGACTGAAGGAGTATTGTCACTGGTGATGAGCCGGGAGGACAGGGTCAACAGGCACTGTTTCAGACTGGCAATTGGAGGAAGTCCACACAGTTCCTTAATAGACACTATGGCATTCTGTGGAGAAGCAAACATGAAATTAGACTTCTGACCACATGACACATCACCCGAGCACTTCTAGGTTTACACAAAAGTATATTCATTAAAAGTATACCCTCCGATACGTATGTAATTTGGAGGAAACTGGATTATAATTAACCAGAAGCATAATGTATACCGAGATAACACACAGAACTAATTCCCTATTATACCTCGTCTTTGTCAATTTTTAGCAACTGCCACAAACATGCCATAAAGCAAAGCTGATTGTGAACCAAGGCTACACAGTGCTTTTCAAAGCAGAGCACTGGAATATTCACACAAACTAGGCTTGGCTGGTTGTGCACATCTTATTCCATTTGTAGTATGATGATCATAAGAATATGTCATTATACATTGGAGTGCGTCTCCTTCGGGCTTTTCCCCCTCAAGGTACCAGGCTGCCATTACCCACCACCATGCATTCGACTAACCATCAATGGTATTTCTTTGTCATCCCGTCAGAAATGCACCTGACAGATGCACATACTAAAATAAATTTCATGTAGAGCTACATTTGTCCATGTTTTACAGGCTTTTAAAATTCATTTGAAATAGAAATTATAACTATTCCACATTTTATTAACAGTGAGCGGTACCTAACTTATTATATGTCGAATGAATTTAGCGACAATATTGGTATTTCATTTTTCTGATTAGGCTCCAAATAATCCTTATCCAAAAGACTTTACGTTGAGATGATATAAATTATCAGGATTACCTGGAAAACTTTATCATAACCAACTCCCCTTACTACACATTTTAAACACACAGTATGTGTAAAGGATGTATTTCAGGAATTACATAGAAATAAATAAAGTCAACTTCTGGCTTTGCTCAGTGGCAGTATCGTAGCCAATGAGGTTTATCCGAGGCATGATTATTGCTAATTGAAACTTCTAATATATAAAGTAAGATATAGAAATGATGTATAAGTAATCTAATATAGGGATTTATAATAGCTTTGTATTATGCCAGAAAAAGCCAGATAGACAATGCTAATATTTGGAGCCTGTTTTTAAAATAGTGGCTAAGGCAACCACTTCAAATAAAATGTTTACAATCTAAGTGTTCATGTACGATTCACATACCATACTGTTTTCCATTACTTTAGCTAATTAAAATTGATTTTAAATCTATTCTGGAATTTCTCTGTGAAATAATGCAAAACTAAAGTATTCACCAAATTATGGGTTTGAGGTTCAATGTCACCTGACTAAAAACCATGAATGATCATGCGTTTTGGCGGCAGGCAATTCTGGATTTAAAGACCAACATTCCTATTTAGGAAATCACATAACTTCTTCACGCTTGTTTTCTATCTTGAAAATAGGGATTTTTTTTTTTTTTTTTTTTTTTTGGTGAGAATTACTATTTAAATGTTAGCTAGGGCTCCTGGGTGGCTCTGTCAGTTAACATCTGCCTTCAACTCAAGACATGATCCCAGAGTCCTGGGATCAAGTCTCACATCAGGCTCCTTCTCCCTCTGCCTCTGCCCCTCTGTCTTTCATGAATAAATTAAAAAAAAAAAAAAACTTAAAAACGATGTTAGGTAAAGAAGCTGCACTGAAAAATGTTCTTCTCTTGTGTTCTCAGACTGCTACTTCTGCTACCAACCAACACCTCTTTGCACATTGCAGGAACTTAGTACTTGTGGTTTGGTTGTTTCTCAGTAACATGACCCTAGAATAAGTATAGTCTATAGTAGCCAAGAAAGAAATTGGCAACCATCTCTGACTACAAGCATTCATAAAGGAAAAGAAACTAACGATGAAATTCCACATGCCAGGAGCAGGCAATTTACATATACTGTCATTTAATTCTGATAATAATTCTGTGATGTATTACTATTTTTCTTACTTTATGTGGAGAAAACTGATGATCAGAGATCTGAAATAATTTGCTCAAGATCACAAGGGGATAGAGTTTAAGCCATAATCAATGTTCTTTCAATTAAACCACTTTTCTAAGGGAAGACAGCATAGTTTTCAACAAGTTCAAGTGGTGACTATTGTTTGTTTAGTTGTGTTTGCTCTGGTGGGGAGTAATTTATTATTGTTGTTTTCATATACTTAATTAAAATAACTTAATAGGCATTGCATTTCTTTTTAGGACTTTAAATTCCCTTTCATGTTTGTGTCTGCAAATATTGAATATATATACTTGTAATTAGCATTGTCTATATATAGATAATATTTTATATGTTGTGCATACATATAATATTTTATATTTTATTTTGTTCACATTGTTTCATATACACAACCCCATATTGATTCTGTGGCAGGGATATTTAATGGATCTATAAAGCATTTATATTAACTGGTTTAGTTGAGGTGAAATTCAACACAGCATTCATTCACAATCAGATACATAAAATATATCTGCTTTATCACAGGCCAACACTTAATTCAGTGGTAGTGGCTTTATACAACTTTTCTGATAATTTTTTGAGGAATCAGATCACTAGTAAAACACAATGTTCACCAGTAAGGCAGGGGAAGGAAGGAGGAGGGGTAGGGAAGAAGAGCTTGGAGTTTTTCCTACCTGCATATTTTCTCTCATATCTATGGCTTCTCGTAAGGGGTGAACTGCTATTTTAAAGATGTCGTCTATGGTCTTAAGGCCGATATTCCTGAGCATGGTGTATTCCCGAACTTTCTTCCCCATTCTGACCGACAGGCTGCGCTTCTGCGCCTTTCCTCCTCCACTTCGGTTAGTTATTGCTATGTGGACGAAAAGGGTTACATGCTCCATGATGTCACCCACAAAAGATCGCAGGGGAACATGCCGATATCCAGGCTGCAAACATTCAAATGGTATTGTGTATTGTCCTATAAACTCATCCCCAATGTAGTCATCATCCAGAACAACAAAACGAATCATGGCCAGCTCAGGTAGGTTGACTTGAAACTCAAAAGTTTCATCAAAAATGGGGTTATCACTGTTCTGTTGGACAGTTTTAGTTCTTTGTTCCGAACAGTCTGCTGGAATTCCATGTATCTCTATACAAACGTAGGGATCTATGACATCTCCTTTGGCACAAGCTCCCTTGGGCTTTGGAAAATTCTGACCACTGATGATCTTGATATGAAGGGCGAGAGGAGACACCCCAGGTACGATGCCCTTTGTGTTCGCACTGAAGTAAGAAACTTCATCCCGCATGATGGATGGCCTTAGAACATAACCACAGCCTCCATTTTGAAGAAACCAGCCTGTGTGAAGGTCCATCATTGGACCTGGAGTCTGAAAATTCATTGCCACAATCTGACAGCCACAATTCCAAAAGTCCTGTGGATTCAAGTTACTGGAATCAATCCTCATGGCACTTGGATAGATTCTCGATAAGAACCTCTTATTGTAATTTACAAAATCCTCTGGGTACTCATTTGCAATTCGGCTGGCCTCTGTTTCACTAAATGAACACATTTCCCAATAGTTTTGGCTTTTCATAGACAGTTCAAAATCCCTATACTGAACAGACTTGCAGATGGACACCAGATCGGAGAGTTCCCTACACAGCAGGATTTGTTTCTGCTCGCCATTGTAATCTACCGACAGCCTTCGCGACATTTCCGCTTCTTCATCTTCATCTGTTACTTCTCCTTCCAAAATATCTGGGTCAGAAGGCAATTTCTTTCCTTTCACAATAATCATTCTTTTCAATTTTTCCGGTGATGGGAGGTAGGTTTCTGATGGCAAAGGTGCCTCAGTATAGAGCTTATCGCCAAAGACCTTTTTCATCTGTTGAACCATTATCTTCTGCTGTGGTAGGGAGCAGTGATTTCCCAAGCAGAGGATGAGTGGGTATTCAGAAGCAACGAAGGCAAATTTATTTATCACCTCTATGACACTTCGAAAGGAAAGGTGTGTTGTCACATTATTTCGATTACAGAGGATTGGTTCATTGTCTGAACCATCACTAACATCAAGTTCAATGCTTCGACAGCCCATCTTCAAAGCTCTAACGTACCCATTAATATCAGCCGGCCCCCTGAACTGGTCTTCTATGAGATAGGTGTTGTGGGAAGCACTGATGTAGTAGTGAGATAATGGCTGCGTCATATCCTGGGCAACCTTTTTTTGCTCAGGATCAAAAATGTCACATTCTGGCGACAACAGATACTGGGTAAAGCCATCAATCGCAAGAAACCCTTTTTGGCGACCCTCTTCAGAAAGTTCGTATCTCCGAATAATGTCTAAGCACATATCCTCAGTAATATGGGTGACTCCTTGCTCAGCTTCTAAAAAGAGCATGAGATCATTGGCATCCAAATATTCTTTGTTCTTAGATATCTGGACCAGTAAGAAATATACTTCAGACCTGGTGCAAAGTTCACAAAAAGCTTCACAAAATTCCTCTTCTGTCACTCGTGTGGTTAGTTTTTCTTTGCTCTTCTGGATTTCTTTAAACTTTAACCTGATCTTGGATTCCTTCAGGGTAGGGTTGAGTTGTTTTATCAACTCTACACAAGTGTCTTCCAACATAATCCCATTCCCATCCACATCTGCCGCTTCAAACACTGTTTTCAACCACATAAACCTTGGCGTGTTCTGGTTGTCCTCCATAAAGTCAAGGGGTTGCTTACTTCGAGAAACCAGGTACCGTAAACCTGACACCCAGATGTTTGCTACATCTGCTGAATTGGCAACTAGGTCCAGAGACTCGTAGTTTTCCCCATGGAGTATGGAGAAGGCACAGTCCTCACAAATCTGGTCAGCCAGACCATTGTTTCTAAATGTTTCTGTGTTCTTCCCCAGTCTGATCTCTTTTATAGCGGAAATGTCGAGCTTAGCTTTCTCAAGGTCTTTCTTGGAAGGTTCCCAGCGAAGAGCTTGGAGGTCTGTGTCCAGAGTGAAAAAACGGTTATAAATACGAGAATTTGGCCGGACTTTCTTCAGTTCACAGCCAGCTTGCATGAAGCTGATGCAGTCATTCGCACTGCTAATTTTCTTTTCCGATGGCATACTGCTGAACGATACTGTTTTCTTTCTTCCACCACATTTTTGGTTTGAAGGATCCTGTAAAATAATTGAAAAAAATGAATCGATTTTCCTTAGAAAATAGACAGACTCAGTAACACTCTATGAACTCCTCGGACTCCATTCAGATATTATAATTATTTTCACTGTTCCAGAAAAAGAAGAATCACTGAGAAAATTGATATTATTAGGTTCAGAAAAAACCTTATTTTTCAAATGCCTCGTGTTCTTTGAAATAAAATCAACTATTAAGTTAACTACAAATCACTCATTCGTTCATTAGAGCAGATTTCCTAAGAAACTCTACGTGTTGGTACTTTGACACCCTAGCTCAAATTCCTACAGATATGTGAAAGAAATAACACTGGATTTCTTTAAAAAGTTTTCATTTATACTAAGCAACAGTTTAAGTTTTAAACTTAAAACTAGTCCAAATAAAAGATGTTTGTGTTCATATGCTTTACATAAAAAAGGACTGGCGATGGGGCACCTGGGTGGCTCAGAGAGTTAAGCTTCTGCCTTCAGTTTGGGTCATGATCTCGGGGTCCTGGGATTGAAGCCCCACATTGGGCTCTCTCCTCAGCGGGGAGCCTGCTTCACCCCCCACCCTCTGCCTGCCTCTTTGCCTACTTGTGATCTCTCTCTCTCTCTCTCTGTCAAATAAATACATAAAATCTTTAAAAAAAAATTGACAAACCTCTAGCCATACTGACCAAAAAAATAAAAATAACAGGGTAGAATCTCTCCTCTAAGGCCTTATTTAATTGAGATCCTGCTTCTCTGAAGATGGAGAGCCTCCCTATCCTGTGATTCAGGAAAAGGCAGGATGATTTATTATTCAATTGACTAAAACCTTGCCCATGAAAGGAAAACAAAATTTGCTTTAGTTATGGAATGTTGGTGGGATGATTCATTAACTCAAATATATATCTGATCTTCAAGTGACAAAGATATAAATTACCCAATTTATTTACAGAATAAAAAAAATTCTGTACAGATTACAGAATATTGTTTCTTGATGCCCTGGCATCTAACAACTTAGCTCGTGCTTTCCCAGAGAGTTGTTATTTTTAATTATCCCATGGTAGTCAATTTCCTCATCCTTAAGTTACAAAACAAGTATAAATCTTCAGCTGTTTTACACAGTTGCACTATTAGAACACATTTAAATTCATCACAACCCACATGCTCAAAAATCTCGAATGTACATGTGTATTTTTCCACATCATAAAAGCAGGCACCTAATGGCACTGTTGAGATGGGATTAATCTACCAAGTAAAATAAAGAGGGAAACTGTGAATTGTGATAGTAAATTAGACTGTGACTCAGCTTTTAAACCTACCATTTGACTAGGCTTTTAAACTAATTAGACTTTTCACAAAAATTATTTTTATATAAAGCATATCATGTTCCAAGTAGGATTATTGTCAACAGAATTATAAAACCTCTAATAGTTTCAAAAAGGCTTAAGTGGGAAATTAATGTTGCTGTAAATGCACGTCTGTAGTTGCTGTGCCTTCTTATGTTTGGTACCCCACCTTCATAGTCCTAACACTTTCCTCTGACTTGAGCCACAAGCTTCTCTTCCTGAGGTGATATCTCCTTAAATCAAGACTTTCTCTCCTAGTACAATAAGCCTTCAAGAGATAAATGTTTTCTACCTAGCCTAGGGAAGAACTGACCTGCTCCAAAATGCTCCAAAATTTCCTGCATTGACCTCCAATTCCCAAAAGCGAAAACTTATCTCAAAGTGCCTTAAAATTTGAAACCAGTGGAAAAGATATACTCTTAGGTTGCCATCTCACAAAGGACAAACTCTGAAGTTATTACAAGCCCCCCCCAGAAGAGCAAAACACTAGCCAAAGCATATGTGAACAAATAATTAGTTCATCTGCTGTCAAGATTATTTCTATTCAAAATATGCTGGAAAAGTTTCAGGACTCCAGTATTTCTCCAAGTCTGTTTGTACAATGGCCATGCTATGCATTAGCTCCAAAAAGATGGAGGGGGGGGGGCAGGTGGACGTGTACTGAGTGGACAGGGAAAACGGACAACTCCGAATCCCCTTCTGAGCCTCACCACCACCACGGCCTCGCTGCCAAACCCTATACCCCTGCACGTGTGTTTCCCTCAAGAAGATCTTGGCAGATCAGTGTTGGAGAAGGGGGTCTGTTCAGGTAAACAGACAGGAGACACCCCCAAATGAAAAACGATGAAGTGTTGGTAATACAGCTTCCTGTTGATAAATGCGAAAAATATCTGATGGCGGACTGCAAGAAAATCAACTGTGGTTATCTACATCGGAGAGACAGGTGTTTTTTGCACTTTCCAGGAGAAACTAGAGCTCGTTGTCAGTTCAGGTGTGCTCTTGTCACCTTCCAGTTCATTAGATGATTGAATTGACTCCTATAGTCATAAGGTCATTTTTATAAAAAGATGATTATGAAGTATGAGGATTTTCCTTTTATGTTTTTTTTAAGATTTTATTTATTTATTTTTCAGAAAGAGAGAGAATACAAGCAGAGGGAGGGAGAAGTTGAGAAAGGAGTCCATAGAGGGACTAGATCCCATGTCACTGGGACCATGACCTGAGCCAAAAGCAGGTGCTTAACTGATGACCCACCCAGGTATCCCACTTGCCATTTATTTTAAAGCTAAATCTTCTCACTCTGAAATGAAGGGAAGAGGCTAAGGTACTTATTACCCCCAAAATTTCTCTTAGTGCAGCTTGCAAAATGTGTTAGTTTGGATATAGCACATTATGGCACCTCTGTCCCCTAAATTAAAGCTTAGCTTCCTCTTCCAGCAGGGTACAATAATTAGTCAGGCATTTGAACTCAGTCCTTTCTATTGCCTAACATTCTATGTTCAAGTTTCCAAATGATCATTTCACGGGAAGGGAACACATTTAAACAAGTTAAATAAATAAAATGAATAAACCAAATTATGTCTATATCATCTTTAAACATTTCCAGATAAGACTTTACATTTGGAATCTACTGTCTTCTTAAATTAATTATACTTTACATAAGAATTTAAGCATTAGAATCAAGAAAAGTCTTGGGATCCTAAGGGAGCTCAGTTGGTTAAGCATCAATCCAGGGGTCCTGGGATGAAGTCCCACATAAGGCCCCCTGCTCAGCAGGGAATCTGCTTCTCCCTCTGCCTGCTGCCTGCTGCCCCACCCCCTCAACTCTTGCTTATGCTCTCACTCTCTCTCTCTGACAAATAAAGTGAAATCTTAAAAAAAAAAAAAAAAAGAATTTCAGAATACTAGGAGAAAATGGGAAAATGCTGTTTTCCATTTTTTTTAATTTTTCATTATTTTCTACAACATTGCTATTTATCTAGTTTTAGAACTAGGACACCAGTCATGATTAAATGAGATTCTTACACAACAGTAAAAGCTATATGGTTTTAAAAGTGTTTTATATAAAATAAAATAAATATGTTTTATTTTATTTTAAAAAATGTTCAAATAAGGGGCACCTGGGTGGCTCAGTGGGTTAAGCCTCTGCCTTCGGCTCAGGTCATGATCCCAGGGTCCTGGGATCAAGCCCCGCGTCAGGATCTCTGCTCAGCGGGGAGCCTGTTTCCCCCTCCATCTGCCTGCCTCTCTGCCTACTTGTGATCTCTCTCTCTCTCTCTCTCTGTCAAATAAATAAATAAATCAATCTCTTCTTTTAATGTTGAAATAAGCCAAATTAATAAACTTGTTTCTATAAGTTTCCATTGGCATTTGTTCTCTGACCCAACAAGGCTGGATATGCGGCAAGTTCCTTAACAAGCACAACAAATAAAATCGTTTCTCTTCAGTAACACGCTGATGAGCTGCAGAAGCAACTCATCTCATTCAACGCAAGCATTTTTGTGTCTCAATTATAAAACTACTGAGTTATTTCAATATAATAATTTTAGAGAAAAATATACTAAAGCGACACACTAACATGAATGTACCTGATGACGCAGGGCTATATATTTAAAAATGGTTCAAGTGGTTAATCTTATGTTATATAAATTTTACCATACACAAAAAGAGTAAGCTAAAGCATTGCATGCGAATTTAAGAATAAAGGAAACATCGTATCTATGTCTTGCTACTTCTCACCTGATGAGCTCATTTAAACATCAAATTATATCATCGCATATTCTTTTCATTTTTTTGGCAAGTTGTTTATAAATTAATATTTCAGAATGATTCTTTGTTAAAACAGAACCAATTTACAAAACTTAAAGAATAGCAGTCCAAGCACCAGTTGTCAGACTGATTAGAAGGAATCCTTGTTTCATAATGCTGAAATCCAGCTACACAGATGCAGATACACTAAAGTGGCATCCACTTCTCTCTTTTTGTATTGGGCGGGGGATGCTTGTTTTTGAAGAGCTCTCTTAAGAAAGTCTTCATATAAAAATTTAATAGATCAAGATTAAAAGATAAGCAAAAATATAGGCACACAAATCTTATTTTCCCCATAGGATTCTATCTTGTTCTTACAGACACCCTATGCACTATAACACTATAGTCTTCATTCTTGTTTTACGAACTTCCAAGCAAAATTCAGGAAAGAGATTTGGTTGATGCATGAAATCTTCCAAGGATTATATATAATATAATCTAGAACCCAAATGAGGCCCAACCTTGGATATTGAGAGACTTCGGGTTCCCATGCTTCATTTATTCATTTAGCTAACAGTAATGGGTAGACCTACTCTATCCTAGGGGCCAGCATCTCGTAGAGTTTTGGAGAGACTGATAAATTCTAATTTTTATCTCAGAGAGATCCCTCTGCATGTGTACTAGATGGTGCCATCGGTGACTACTGATGCATTAAAGGAGAGAGATGGTGATTGCCTGAGGTAGATTATTAGCAAAAGGAATGGAGAGAGGTGAGAAGTATCAAAAGAGTAGAAGGTAAAATCAAAAGTCCTTCACTGGGTCTAGGATGACTCCTAGGTTTTTGGTTTGAGTGAGAGGTGAATGGAAATATTGCTGAGATATGGACTACAAGGAGAGGTGAAGTGGGAAGGAAACAGAGTT